AATGTTTTGGAAAGCTCTCGAGGTCAGCTACAAGAATATGTAATAAAAAATAGGAGATGCCGTTTAAAAAAATTGAGGTGACTTTCAAATAATTCTTTAAGGTCAAAGCAATGGTATCATCTTATGGTCCCCTCGAAACCAAACAACTTTTGTCTGAAAAATTTTTCTCTCCCGTGCTTGGTTTTCGACATATTCGACTGAATGGATTAAAATGGTCCACCCTGTATATCGTACGCGTATTAATCATAATACAAAAATCATCGGAATGATTTATCACTCTCCCTTTCTCTCTCTCCCTCCCTCAATTTCTTTTATGGCACAAAGTCTAAAAGTGTATAGAGTAAAAAACGTATCTCGTAATTTGTAGTTAATAACTTCAAGAAGTAGGGTTTTACGTACATAAAGTAGAAAGTGAAAAGATAATCTTCGAAAGGAAGAAATTATTATGGTAGATACTATCTACTTTGCATTACGTATTCCCTGTTTTCAATCATTGTGAAACTTCTTTAAACAAGAATCAAGATGTTGACTTCAAACGTGCTTCGGGGAATCGACTCATTACTTTCAACTTACAAAACATCTTGTGCAGAGAACAACTTTCTATTTCATATAAAACACAATGGACAAAAAAACGAAGTTGTCAATTGGAAACTATAATCTTCCTCAATTGATGTGGTCTTGGAAGAGAGACTTTCTTTTTATGTATTTATTCACAGAAGAACTCAATCATAATTATTTATAATGAAGTGAGCAAATTTTATAATATCAATTATATCAATTACGCACAAAATACAACATGTATTAAGTCACACACACACACACACACACACACACACACACACACACACACACACACACACACACACACAACACACAGGGTGGCTCACATAAAATGTTACAAGCTATAATTCTAAACATACTTGTCCTATCAAAAAGTTGTTCATAAGAAAGTTTCACATATATTCGAGGGGCCTTTCTAACTATCGTACGTAAACAAAAATCAACTTCCGTCCCCCTTGAAGAAGGGCGGGGGGTAACTTCAAAGTTTTAAATGAGACCCCCTATATAATGTTACATATTTAGATTCTACGCAAAAAAACAAGTAAACTTTGTCTGAAACATTTCTTTGAAAAATGCTCCTATCAAAAGTTATAAACGTTTAAACTTTAAAAAAAAATGCATTGAAATTAATAATAAATTAAATAAGACTCATAGTTTTTTTCTGTTTTGTTTTATTTTATTAAATGTTCGAACTGTTGACCATTAATATCTAAACACTTATTAATTCTTTTTACAAAATTTTGCCTAACTCTAAATAACATTTCTGGGGTCACCTTAGTGCAAGCTAAGAGTTAGGCAAAGTTTTGTAAAAAGAATTTATTGTTTACAGACTTTAATAATATTTGAACTGCAAGAACATTTTATTACAAAAATTGGAAATAATTTATTATTGGAAATAATTTCCTTTCGCATCGCATGCCTCGCATTGACGTCGCATGGATTATCGAAGACATTCAAAAATTCCCGTAGTATTTCGTATTTTGTCACACGAAGCGATAATACGATTTCAGAATATTTCCACGTCGATGCGAGGCATGCATCGATACGAAAGGAAATCATTTCCAGCAATTTCTGTAATGAAATGTTCTTGCAATTTAAATGTTATTAAAGTCTATAAGTAAAGTAAATAAAAAGTGTTTATATAATGGAAAGGAAGCGTTTCTGAACCCATGTTTATATGATATTTTTTCATCCTTATAATAAATGAAATATGCTCTTAAAGTTTGGTCAACTATTTCTGAAACACCCAGTGTACACACACACACACACACACACACACACACACACACACACACACACACACACACACACACACACACACACATATATATAAAATAATCGATTGCGATCGCAATACGAACTTGTCGGTTTTCTCAAATATTAGAATATTTTATGTTTTGTACGATTAATGCTTCGTTCTTCTCGTGCTTATTTTTAAAGTTTTTCGTACATATAAAATTTATATTGCACTTAGAACAAACGTTTCGCGTGCGCGAACGCAATTGACTAAATCGTATTTATCGTCATATGGGAACGATACAATGTTTCTTATGTTAAGATAGGATTTAGCGGCTTTATTCTTGAAAAATATAGCATACGATATTTCTATGAAAAGTTATAATTCATATTATACTATACCAAAATATCGAGATATATATGATATTTTTTAAGAAAACGGTCCTAATAATTTTAAAAAATTTTTCATCAAAATATAAGTTAACGTTCAATTTTGAAGGAGTCTTCAGAATGTAGCGACTTACAGTACGGTTTGCGTAGTTTGCGCTTGCCGCGTTAATATTTAATGGTTCGTGGGTAATTCACGTAGCAGAGAAATTTAAAAGGCTCAGTGACCGTATCTGGAACATGTTTCACCAGACTTTCTCAATTGGACTCGCTTGCATCTTTTGTACAATGCGAATCGCGTTGTAAAAACCTAATTCGTGAACGAAGATCAAATACGTAACTAGTGTTTATAACTACTATAATGACACTATAATTTGATTATAATCTCATATTCTAATATATATCGCGAAATGTCTATTAGGCCATTTATTTATCTATCAATCTATCTATCGATCTATCTATCGATTTATCTGTGTATCTATCTATCTATCTATCTATCTATCGAGAGAGAGAGAGAGAGAGAGAGAGAGAGAGAGAGAGGGGGGGGGAGGAGAAAGGAGGAAAAGTATTACGCGATACTTACATCTCTCAACATTTTCTCGGCGGCAGTAGGATCCCACTTTCTTGCTAAAAAAAGAATATAGAAATATAAATTTAGGTTGCATTGCAGATTATTATATAAAGTTCTATAACATAATGTATAACCGACGGATAAATAATTGTGATCAAACCATCAATATATAGTAACACACCGTACGAAATAAAATTATATGAAACAATTATGGAATAATGTACATAGTCAACAAACCTTGAATTTTTTACAACAGTTTATATAAATAAAAATATTGCACGTAGTTAAAAAACCTTAAATTTTTTACAACAGTTTATATAAATTTTTAGTTAAATATGCGATTAAAGTCATTAATAATAAACGAATATTACTGTATTTAACATCAATGATAGTTTATTATATAGAAAAGATCAGTGGAAATTTTATGCTTTCTTAACATGAAATAATAAAAATGTTTTTGATTAATTCAGCAAAAGATAACCAGTAGTATTTACTGATTTTTAGTGAAAACATTTCCATTTTACTACTTCATCTTATTTTTCATTAATTTTGTCTAATGGAAGTAAGATTTCATTGCAAAATCTATCATATATTATACCAAATCTAACTTTCTGCGTTTGGAATTAACGGCTTCCATGCGCCTTGTGTGTAATAACATTCTCTGTGTTAGAAAATGTATTAATAGTGAGAATAGTCGTTATTATTAACTGATCCTTCAGCGAAATTTTATTGATTGCAGTACTGTACTTATAACTGAACCACCAGTTATAAGTACAGAATTTTAGTGAAGAATACACTAATTGTATTTTAGAGAATGGGTTTCCGGCGGTATTCGTAATTTATTTTCAAAATAATTTAATTGTTTCATTAAATATTACTTTGATACTCAATTGAATCGAAAGACACTCAATGGCACGAAATAACGATGGTGCATATGTAATTCGAGATGCGCATGATTGCACTGTATACATATAATGAATAGTGTCTATTGAAATCATGAGCATATTTTCTTTGATAGTACTAATACGTTATTGGGCTTCTCCCAACCAGCCATACCTCTCAACCAGCGAAGCAGAAAGTGGTCATCGTGATGTGGTTGCAGAATATCTTGCACGGATCGTCTAAACTGTGAAAAATAACATATACCCGTATTAATAATTATCATTTATCCCATATGAGATATTCATCTGAATTTAGAGCTAAATTTGAGTTTTTTTTATTTAAATCATATATACAATATTACATTTGTAATCGCGATTCAGCTAAAAAACTCACATCTAATTTTATATTTAAATCTGAATATTTAGAACACACAATTTCGTTTACGCGTAATATTTATTTTACATATTATCAAAGACAACTGTGCTCGTAATCACGTAGTTATCTATTTTAGCGCAAAATTATTGTTATTAATTTACGATATTGACGCAAAATCAGCACTTTACCACAAAATTCTGTCTGTGAATATAACAAATATTCGTCTTCAATGTACATGGCTATCAGTTTGCTGTCATTCGCACACTAAACTTATTTTTATCGATATCTTTCTCCGGAGACAGCTGCGTGTTTTTCGTGTCGCGACGATTTTCTTCGATATTGCAACTGATACATTTTTTCGTTTTCTTTTATACGCTTTTGTAACTGTTAATTATATTTTACACGAATATACCAATTGTCGTGTCTCACGTTTGACACGACGAAGTGAAATTTCCTCGTCGGCTCTCTAACCATCAGTTACGAGACGTTCCACGAGATGGTCCATATTCGACCGAACTCTCGTTACAATATCTCAACATTTACTTTCACTGAAAACTTTAAGAACTATAGCATTGCTCAGGAGCAAAATCAGTAACGAAAATACTTCCGTCTGGAAAATTTTTCCTAAAGATAAATCTCAAATAATTTTCAATAGCGAAAATTATATGGCCATTAACTGTTGTACACAAAATGAATGATAGAAAATACGAAGTATGAAAAACGGGATGTTAATCTCTGTTATTGTAAGGTAACTATTCAGCTATCATAGTCGATAGGCAAAAACGTGAAAAAAAAAATTCGTGGAGGCGAAAGGATCAGACATTCATGCGTCGAGTATGATTACTGGATAGCGAATAAACCGGTTTCTTCCGCTGTGAAAGAACGATTGCCTACATTTACAACCTCGATAAGCCCGTGTTTCGTTTAGGCAAAGTCAAGTGTATTGTTCCGTGAACGTGTTCGGCGCATGTAACGAGCGGAAAGTTACTTCTTCTTCATTACTTGAAGCGTAAAACAGAAAAAATGCGATATAAAGTCGGACTTTCTATTTTAGTATTATTTCTTTTATTTTTATTTTGTTTCAACTATAAAATATAATTTTGAAGGAGAAAAGACGAAAACTTGCAATTATATTACTGATTTTTCGTGAGAGGTATGTATGTATATTCATAAAGGTTAACCAAATATCAAACTAAAAGTCACACTTATTCGATTTTCCTTATAGCTAACTATTTGGTACAAATACATTTGTATGATATAAGATAATCATAATATTTATACTATTTATAATACTTTTCAGATAAACATATTTTGAAATATCGTCACACAAGTACACAAAGATGAGTCCTCATATAACAAGAATTTTATCAACATATAAAAATTAGTATATGAAAGAAGTTACTATCTGTTACTATGTGAATTGCTACTTATTTTATCGGGAAGAGAACGCAATTAATTCGAAATTATTGTAGTAATAAGGAGTAAATATTTTGATTAAAATTATAATGTAATAAATATTTCCTAAAAAAAGCATATTCGTTTTACAATCATCACAAAGTATTATAAAGTATATATTAAATGATTGTATGTTATGTTCAGCATTTTTTGTTCAGTATTTTTGTCTATCTAGAACATTATTCCTACTTATTTTGCTCTATCTTTGTTTCATATTTAAGCTTCAGACTGCTTTGTACAATTAATGGACTTATACATTTCATAACACCTTTTATGATTGCTTCATCTAATTTGAACGAGATAAAAAGAAGTTATTCGCGAGAACGAGTGTTACAAAAATTACGATTATTTTTCACACGTTTACGCGATGTCGTAATTCAAGACAATGTATATTTATGTATCGAGGATCGTTTCGAACTGTATTACCAAATTGGTGTGTGCCTGATTGTCTGCGGTCACGAGCCGTGACTTTCTTCGATCATAGCAGACCAATGAAAGTATCATAGCGTTCCTTCTTGTTTATTAAGGAAAGACCGTTTATTTAGTCGCAGTGCCTAGTACAAATTAATTATCCTTATTTATAGTATACATTATATGACACAGATTAACACCTCATCGTTTGAATAACTCATGAAATTGCTAAATTGGATGTGCAAAATGGCTCTTGTTGATGAATTTTAAATGATCCGTGAGAACTTCATTGAGAAAGAAACTTAAATTACTAAGATTTGAATTATTAAAATTCACCTGAATTACTAAATTACTGAAAACTGAAATCAATATACTGTTTCTTGCAGTTGACTATAAGATTCAAAAGTACAAGCAGTAATTTCATAATCCGGTATATCTCGCTGCTTGAAATAAATACTCGTTACCTCGCCCCAAATATTAATATTAAATATTAAATAATCATCGCATTACAAGAGATAAGACCATCGCATCGCAAGCGATCTGCACGCCATGAAATCTTTTTGTCATATTACGAACAATAACATTTTTATTTTGTTGCAAAACCGACTAGTCTGGTTGCTGCGTAAGTTATTCATCTAACTTTTTAAAATTTCCACAACGTATTAAAATCGTATGTTACATTGAAAAATATATACAAATGCATGTTGAAAATTTGGAAGCCGTGTGTGACATTCAGTTGCATATGTACACATACTGCTCGCCCGCCCGCGCGCTCGCTCGCCCACCTGTTCAAAAGTTAACAAAAGAAGTTGTATAAAATGAATATAATTTTTGGACATCGTATATACACAAAAACATCGAATTTGTAGGCTAGGAAGGTGTTTGCCTCTAACACACACACACACACACACACACACACACACACACACACACACACTCGCACACACCCGCCCGCCCGGGCGGGCTCACGGTGTGTGCGAGTGTTCCTATTATATTTGAAGTTTTATATAGAATAGAATGTAATAAATTTAATTTATAAAGTTTTATAAATAGAATGTAATTTCTCTCACACATTAATTTATGTAGTGTCGCAAAATTACATGGATAATTGTTAAATTATCCAAATATAATAGGAACACTCGCACACACCGTGAGCCCGCCCGGGCGGGCGGGCGAGAAGTGTGTGTGTAAGGACAGGCATCTTCCTAGCCTACAAATTCGATGTTTTTGTATATACGATGTCCAAAAATTACATTTATTTTATGCAACTTCTTTTATTAATAATTTTTTAACGAAAACAATTTTTTAACTAAAACTTAGAAGGTCACTCAGGAGGATGACTTCTGTAACATATGTCAAGGTCAATGTCATTGAAGCTGCCTTCCTTAAAGAGGAGTTTTACCACTTATTCTAACAATTTATTGATATACTATGTTAACATTCTTTTGCAATATTTAGCAGATAAAATTTAATATATTTATATTTCTAAAATATGCTTATTAATTTTTCATTCACAAAATTATATGATAATTCAATATTTTATTAAAAATTACACATTTCTGTGTTTGATAAAATAATAACAATTAGGCATTCGTCAAGAGTTAATTCTATATTATAATGTGGTTGTTAGCTAATATAATACTGACCATATCGTGTACGTAATTTAAAAGTTTGTCGTTTGTAAACAACTTTTCCTTATGTATGTATAAATTTACATTAAATCAATGTCGACCCAACATTCATGGTTAATGTATTCACCGTCGGTCTATATTTACGATATCACTTGGAACCAGTACGATTAAAGTATAGTTAATTTCAAATGTCAATAACTTCCCAAATAGTACAAAATCTTCAGAGAATGTTCTAAGACGTTCTTAGGATGTATAAATGTGCTTAGAACGTCTTTAGGACGTCTTTTGAAGATCTGTGCTTATGTGTATGAGTTTATGTGCCCGCATATAATTTCTCAAAACCGACAGTATAAAGTGTGATACATTTTCCTACACATTTATGCAAGTTTGTAGCGTATTATCGGCAGCTATGATATTATTCGATGTATATTACATTTTCGCATTAGTCATATACATTATGACTGTAAACGTACTCTTCCTCGAGACGGTTTAAAAATATGTATGTATGTTTGTATGTATGAATCTATGTAGGTATGTAAGTATGTATGTATATATGTATGTATGTATATATGTATGTATATATATATGTATGTATGTATGTATGTATGTATGTATATATATATATATATATATATATATATATATATATATA